CAGCCAGACAGCCCCCTGGGGCCTGGGAACCCCCCCAAGGCGCCGGCGCCGCTCCCTGCCAAGGCGCTGTGAGTGCTCTGCTGCCGGGGACTCTGCCTGTGCCACCTTCTGCCATCAAAGGCCCTGGTAGGTGGACTCTTAGCCTTCAGGGGTTAGGTGACTGCTAGCTGGGACCAGGCCTGGAAGCAGGGTATCTGGGAGACTAGTAGAAGGGCAGAGGCCCAGAGGAGACAAGCAATGTCCTAGAACCCATAAGTATGCTGGGTCCACAGCAGAGTCCCTTCCTGCAGAAATACCCTGAGTTCCTCCCTCTGCTCAGCTCCAAGGATTCTGGAAGCACACATCCCCACCCCTGGGCAGGAGTGGCACAGCCAGGTTATGGATAGCCCAGCCTCAGAGAGGGGCAAGCCTTGTGTCAGGCCCACAAGGAAGCAGGCCCAACTGGGCTTCAGGCTCTGGTACTTCATAAGTTTGTTTAGAAAAAAAAAATATCATCTGTAGCTGGCAATCTATGACAGGTACTAGAGTTGTCATTATGTCAAGGAACTGGGATACAGGTGCCAAGTCTCCTTGGTTTTTCCATCTGTGAAGGGGAAGGCTGCATTCCTCCCTTCCCCTTCTTGGACCATTGAGAAAGTAAGGACTGAGTGCTCCAGTTCCCATGACAGTTTACGAGAAACTCCTCCTCTGGGGCTCAATCTTGGGCTCCACCCCTGCCTCAGTTTCCCCTGCAACTGCAGGTGGCCAGATTCTGGGAAGGCCAGCCACCCATCTGCCTCTTTCTGAGGCTGAGAACACATTCCCAGTAGCTCAGTTTTCCTTGGTACCCACCCCGCCCGGGAGGGAAGGGTGCCAGGTGCACAGTGTGGAAATGGATCTGCTCCAGAGGGCAGGGGTGGGGGCTGGGCTGGGCCTCCAGCCAGGTAGCTTCAAGGCTCTGGCCAGCCCCTCACTTGTTGCCACTCTATCTATCCAGGCCTGAAGCTGTGGTCACCCCAAGCAGCCAAGCTCCAGGGGCTGTGTTAAAGACTGGAAGGAAGTGGACCACTGAGGGAGACCTCCTCCGAAAGCTAAGGTGAGGGTGATTGCATGGTTGATCATTTTCTGTATGCTTTACATGTTTGCTGCACTCTCTGTGTGAGGCAGGATTGGGTCTTCATTGTCTATCCTAGGTAACTGAGGTTCAGAGAGATGACACCACTTGTTTAGACTCACAGAGTGTCCATCCTATCTGGCTTATGTCAAGAGCCTATGTTCTTTTAAAAACTAGATTTATTTTACATGCATGAGTGTTTTGCCTGAATGTATGCATGTACATCACGTGCATGCATGGTGTCCTTGGAGACTGGAAGAGGGCATCATCTGTATGTAACTTATGTGCTCTAAGAAGAAGTCATTGGATCCTCTGGAACTGGAATTATGGATTGTTGTGAGCTGCCATGTGGGCTCTGGGAACAGAACCCTGGGTCTCTGCAAGAGTAGAAAGTGCCCTTAATGCTGACCCACCTCTCCATCCCTGAGCCTGTTTTCTTAACTACTACATTCTGTGGCCATCAGATGTAGATCAGGCCTTCAGGGCTTTGACTGGGAAGAACCACAGTTATTCATTCAAGCATCTTCCCTACACTGGGGCTTGGAGTGAATGACTCACTGTGTTGTTCGCTCTTTCGATACTCCCTAAGGGAGCTCCCCAACTTGGTGGCCACAGGTGGTTCAGCACAAGGCCCACAAATGTTTGTCCAAGAAACCTGGCTTGAGGACAGAAACCTTACCTTGGGCCATTCAGCAGAGGGACCCAGGGGCAGTTGGTGGGACAGAGACTACTAGCTGAGAAGCCTACATCAGTCACAGGCAGGCTTCATGAGCTCTGGCTTGGGGTTGGGCTTCTCTGTGCTGCAGATATTGAAGCAGGGAGTTTGCAGTGTCCATCCTGCAAGTTAGAGGTGCTAATATGAACCGAGTATGTCCCTGTGGAACTCTGAAGGCCTTGGCCATGCTTGCCTCTGCAACCACTCATCCTGGTGGCAATTTGGGGTTTTTTGTTGTTACTGTTGTTTTGTTATTGTTTTGGTTTGGTGTAGCTTGGTTTTGAGGCAGGATCTCTCTCAGTATGTAGTCCAGGCTGGCCTTGAGCTCAGGGCTATCTTACTGTCACAGGTCCTCAACTACTGGGTCTAGTTGGTATCTTAAAAGCCCCCCATAGAGAAAGGGCCTCAAAGAGGGTGAACCCTGACCAGTCCCCACAGCCTGGCCCTGAGACACACCTTCTCACTCCCAGATAGAACTCTTAGGGTCTGGAAGCAGACAGTAGAAAGTTCCCAGAGCTGTAGCCATGACCTCAGTCAAGTTCAAAGGGCCATGAGGACTAGCTGTGTGGACAAGCCCACCTTGCAGCAGACAGTAAACTTCAGACAGAGTAAGATGACACAGTTTAGGGTGGAGAAAGACCGACACCAGGAAGAAAGGACATTTACATGACTGTGCACAGGCTGTCTTTGGCCGACCCCCTCATCCTGGTTTCATCTGATGCTGAGCACAAGCACTGTCAGTGTCCCCATGAGCAGAGAAGTTCCTGGAACCAGCTCTGGCCTGCCCAGACCTTAATGTGCAGACCTTGCTTGGGGCTGTGGCCACACTCTGACCTAGGACAGCTGTTACCAGAGATCTAAGCAGAGGCTCTAGGCTCAACTACTTATCTTCTAAGGGAGCCCTGGATGCCCTGTATCTTCTGATATGCTAACTGATCTTTCTCCATTTCCAGGGACATTTCTGCCACCAAGCTTCGCTTTGCCAGGCTACAGCCAGAGGTGACAAGAAAGTCCAGTCCAGCATACTCTAGACGGAGAAAGAGATAACCCTGTGAGCTGTGGGACTACTGAGAAGGAAGCTCACATGGAGACAGGAGGAAATGGGCAGTGAATGGGAGACCCTGTGCCTGTCTTCTGGGCCAAGACCTCAGCCCTGGCTAGCCAGACCCGTCCGATGGGTCCAGCACAAGCTCTGGCCTCTCTCACAACAGCTCTGTACCCTTACAGGGCCAGGGCCACCCTCGGCACCTGAGCAGCAGTGCAGCCTCCCAGAGCTGGCTGCTGGCTACAGTCCCACTTGAAGGCGCTATGTGAGGCCAAATGAACATGCTGACTGTGTCCTGAGGATTGTCCTGTTTGCTGGACTGTGATCCAGGAGCAACCCCACAGCAGGACACAATTACCTAAGCCACACCTAGAGAGGACAGGGCATCCTGATGACTGACATCCTGGCTGCCCCCCATGGTCCTCTTTGGTTCCTCCACCCTAGAGGCATTGCAATCTTGTTCTCTTGGGAACTTTTTCGGGGAGTGGGCAGGACCTGCTCTGCTTCACTTATCTGTATATAAGTTATTTGCTCTAAGAACTTTTAAATTTTTATTATTTATTTTAATGTATTTTTTTAGAGCCTCAGTTGTTTACTTATGAACTCATGTTTGTAATAAAGGATAGAATGGTCTTCTAGGATTTTGGTCTCGGCCAAGCAGAGGTGAGAGGTTCCTCCCAGGAGGGATCATTTGGGAGTTAAAAGGACACAAGAAAAAGAGGAAAGTCCAATAACGTGGGTAGCTGAGACCCAGGTTCCCCCGTCCCTTGCTGGGTTTCTCCTCTCTGGGCTTTTGCCTGTCGTGACTTAGACAGCCCTCTGCAGCTATGACATCTGGACTCTGGGTCATATACTCACAGCAAACAAGAACACATGGTCAATCCCTCTTCAAGCACATATTTGGAAGAAGCTAGATCCATGGGGGTGCAGAGACCATCTTCAGCTCCAGGAATTTTGTCCAGCCAGGACCTGACTGGGAGGCCACAGCATATCTGTCCTGTGACAAGTGGAACCAGATGGATACATGTCTGTGTGCAACCTGGTGGTCTGCAATGGGCACCAAAACCTAGCCTTAGCCAGGGCTTGGCCTGAATCTCATTCTGGGTCTCAGAAGGTCCAGGAATGAAATGTGATACTTCTCTGACTGATGGAGCCCAGGGCTGGAGCCAAGCAGCACCCTCTCTGGGCCCAGGGACAGCCTGTGGTCTGGAACATTCCTACAGGCAGCTGCCTGGACGCTTGGCTGGCTGAATCTCCCACAAGCAAGCTGTGTCCTATTCCCATGGCTGGGAATGGCTGGCTCATGCTGGGAGAGGCAGGCTATGACCTGAGCCAGCTGTCAGGAAATATTTATGGAGCAGGCAATAATCATTTACATGCCTGCTATAACCCTGCCTTCTTCACAAAGCCAACCCCAATTTCCTTCTGGGAGAACAACACACTGGTACGTTTTGAGCTCCCACTGTTCACCAGCATGCTTCATACTTTGTTCAGATTAACCTGTTTTGTCTTCACAACAATGGGATGCAGACTTCATAGCTCATGCTTTCCAGATGAGGAAAGTGATGCACAGAGAAGAGAGGAGACTTCCCTTAGGTGGCACAGCAAGTAAACAAAAACATCAGGATTGGAATTCAGAATCTATAGTACATATAGTATATATGTATATATGTATGTAATAAAGTGTGTTGGTTGAATTCGTGGATCTATACTGCAATTTGACATTGAACTTTCCCCTGCTGAGCCTCTGTTGTCTCATCTAGAGAATGGAAAGTGGTAATTCTCACTCCCAGGATGGTCAGAACAAGAAGTGGCAAGCTCTGGCCCCAGGGCCTGGGAAATAGAGTGTGGCTCCATCAGGCTGCATGGTGACTGGGATGGGTACAGAACCAAGGGACTATGTGGGGACAGATTGGGACTGGCTGAGGTGTAGGAGAAAGGATCCCACACGAAAGTGGCGCTCCTTCTGTAGCCTTCAAAGACAAGCAAGAGACCAGTGAGATGGCTCAGTGAGTAACAGCACCTGCTGCCAAGACTCATCATTACCTGGGTTCGATTCCTGGGACCCAGGACATGGAAGGAAGGAACTGACTCCCAAAAAATTGTCCACTCACCTCTACATACACACTGTAGCAAATATATACCCTCACACACACAAAATTAATTAAAAAATTAAAAATATAAAATAAAATAATTTTTAAAAAGGAAAAAGATAAACAAAATTGGAACAGAAGGAAACCAAAATCAGGATAGATATGAGCAGGGGTTGGGGAGCAAGGTGGTAAGTTAAGTGTGGAGTGACAGAGGAGTCCTCAGAGAAGCCCTGTGACTGAGGCAGGCAAGGAGAAACAGCTGGAGATAAAGCCACAAGGGTCTCAAAGGGTAAATCATAAAACGGGCTTTTTCCTGTAGGCCCGAGGGAGCCATGAACAGTCCGTGAATGGCAAGGAAAATTGTCAGAGGCAGGCTTCAGAACAATGTCCTTCAGGGCTGAGAGGGAATGAGTGAAGAGGAGGCAGGGAAGTGAGGTCACATCCTAACCCTGGAGTGCTGAGATCTCTTGGACATGAGGCCATGGGGACAGCCCTGCCATCCTAGGCTAGGGCACGCTGTCACACTCCAGCTGGGCTGGCATGGGAAGCTACCATTCCTGGCATGGCAGCCTTCCATTCAGACTGGTCCTGCCACCTCCGAAGCCCAAAATCCACAGCCAGTGGCCAGGGCTGACAGCACCAGGACCACCCTGGAAAGAGAGATGAATGTCCTGGTGAGGAGTATGGAAGCCACAGTGGAGAGTGCTCACCACTTTCACCTCAGACCTGGAACACTGGTCAAAGTCTAGAGACTGACAGAATGGCAAATACTGGCCGAGATGACACCCATTCTCTTAGTTCCTTGGTCATAAAAAGAGATATCTGACTTGTGCCCTTTCCTCAGGAGACCCTGTCCTGTCCCATGTCTCTTCACAGGAGCAGCAGAGGGCAGAGCCAATGGGGCCATATGTACTCAGAGTCTTTCCCACAGCCTCGGGGTAGCAGAGACCCAGCAGTGGGGGTGTGGCCTGCAGTTTGGGAAGAACAGAAAAGCTGTGAGCCTAATATAGACCTGGGAAGACCCATGTTAGGATTTGGGGAACAAAAATCTCCCCCTTTTCCTGCCTTTTCAATAAACAATAAATCTTTTTCCAAGTTTTAATTTCTTTTTACAATTATTTGGAAGAATGGTCACGTGCAAGCCATAGCAAGTGTGTGTGTGGGGGGAGGGGTCAAATACCATTTGAGAAAGTCAGTTCTCTTTTTCCACAATGTGGGGCCTGGGATCAAACCCAGGTGTCCTCAAGTTTTGAGGCAATCACCTTTATCCGCTAAACCATCTCACGAACTCATTTTCTAAGACTTTTTAAAGCAAAATCATAGTCTGTCAGCTGGAATCCTAGACAGAGAGAAGCTGTAAATGGGCATGACCCCAGTTTCCCTGTGGCGCGTGTGTAGGGGAAAGTAAGCTGGGGAGCTGGTAGGAACTACAACTACACATGGATGAGGTACAAGCCAGGCCAGGAAGGCTGCTGCCTGAACCATGGCTGCTTTCAGACATGCCTCATCCACAAGCCCAGGGAATTCATCACACACACACACAAACACACACCCACACACACCCCACCCCAGCCACCGCCTCCAATAGAGTCCAGGGTCAGTTCAGATAAACCATTTGCCTCAGGGCAATAAACTCCTGGACTGAGGCCATCCATTCATTAAATGATGAGAAATAATCGTCTTTGTGGAGACGATGGTGATCTGTGCTGACAGAGGTGGCCTCTGCCTGGAGGGCCAGAGAGCTGCCCGACACAGAGATACACACAGGGCCTGAAGCGTCCTGCAAGCTGATGGGCTCCTCACAGCAGCCTTACACAGCAGATTCTACAATTATTACTCCCATTTCATGGATGAGGTAAGTTGGGCGTGGTGACCTGCACCTAGGAGGAGAAGGCAGGAGATTGCTTGAGTCTAGGAATTTGGGCTAGCTGGGCAAGATAGTGAGACCTTATCTCTTTAAAAACAAGGAAGAGGAAGAAGAGAGGGAATGAGACAGAGGAGGAAAGGAGGGACCACTATACTGGCACCTGCCTTAAGTCCCAGTTCTCGGGAGGCACGGGTAGTCAGATCTCTGAGAGCTCGAAGCCAGTCTGGTCTACAGAATGAATTCCAGAAGCCGATCTGGTCTACAGAATGAATTCCAGGACAGTCGGAGCTACACGGGGAGATCCTGTCTTGAAAACAAAAACAAAAAGGGTGCAGGGAGATAATGAAACCCTATTATTTCATTTGTTTTATTGTCACCTGTTTTTGTTTTGAGTCAAGGTCTCATGTAGCCCACATTGGTCTGAAATTCAAAATGTCCCCAAAGATTGAACTTCTGATGTCCCTGCCTCTATGTTCTAGGATTATAGGAAGCACTGGGGATCAAGTTCAGGGCTTCATGTGTGCTAGGCAAACACTTTACCAACTGGCTTGAGAGGCCATCTCCAGCTTGGTTGTAGCTAAGCTGGCTTTAGCCCTTAGCCTCTTAAATCTTGTACTCTCCTGACTGACACTGAGCTGGAACCTTGGGGAAGGGATTCCAGGGTGCCTTCTTGGAGGATGTGGCCTAAAAGAACAAACATCAGTTGAGTAGGGGGAAGAAGGTCCTAGACAGGAAGAACAGCCCAGAAGAAAGCTCCTTTCTTCAAGGATGGAAGCTGTGCTTGGCTTCTCCCAGGGTATCAAAGAAGGGAGGGGGCTGGAAAAGCCTGGCAGGGTTATAGGAATGAGCTATGAAGTCCTGAGTGCCATAGCCAACCCTGGCATGGAGTGAAATTGTATGTGGGGGGACACTAACAGCAACTGACACACACACACACACACACACACACACACACACACACACACACAGAAAAGGAGGTTCCTGCCATTCTGGAAGTCTCTGCCATTAATGCTTCTTGCTTCTGGACACTACATATGACCCTGAAGCTCTCCCAGGTTGGCAATGGGTAGAGAAATATCCTGTGAGTTCAACTTCCAGCTGCCATAGACAATTGAAGAACAGGACCAGAAGGGTTTGCTCACACTGGCATGAGAACCAGTCACCACAGCCAGGGGAGCAAGAACAGGAATGTCTGGCTACAGCAAGGAAGAGTCCAGGTAGAAAGAGGCAGCTGGCTTGAGTGGCAGGAGCCAGGTGGAGAGGAACATCCAATGCCAGGAATTTGAACTTAGTGATGGAGAGCTGGTGAAGGTTGCTAAGCAAAAGAGCCAGGACAGGAGCTGCCTTGGGCTTCTAGGTAATCAGAAGCCCTTCTTGGGCCAGCACTTCTAGCCCATAGAGGCCTTCACAGCACCTCTTACAGAGAGTGGGTCTCGCCTTGGCCTGCCAGGGATCAGTGCCAAGAGCCCTCGGCAGTTCAGGAGGGGGCTGCTGGAGCCCTGGAGGAGGAATGCAGCCTAATTAATTCTCTGAAGCTCCCAGGCCTCGCCTTGT